ATAACGCGTACATTCTAAAATCTTCATCGTTCGGGATAAGACATTTATTCATACTTGAGATACGACGGTATGCTGCTTTATGATCCTAAGCCAATTTTTTTATATTCAAATGGCAGAATGACTTTTATTTATTTCATCTGGTATTGTATTTACAAATATTTTAACAGATGTATCAAAGTTTTCGGTTTACATTTTTAAATCTTTCACAATATTTGCTAATGACGATAATTTATGATCTTTTTTTTTTTTAAAAAAAAAAAAGTTAATTACAAATATTACAATTAAATAATTTGGAATTCAACATCTATACAATAATTATTTCATATTTTTAATCCATCTCATCTACGTGGAAAAGTTTTTGCAATGAATTAAATCTATTTACTTATTAATAGTTTGGTGGATAATTTGAATAAGGTGGATAACCTGAACCTGAATATTGTGGTGGAGGGGTTGGAGAAGGAGCTCCATAACCAGTATTTGGATGTGGAGCTATATATTGACTTTGACTTTGATTACCTTGATTACCCGAGAACTGACTTTCAGGGTATGATATTGCTGCAGAGTATGCTGCTGCTACATTTTGATTTTTTCGTTTTTGTCGCCTACAAAGCTGACAAATTACGAGTGATGCTACAATTGCAACGGCAATAACTGCAATAGTTACAAATACTATTATTAAGACTATATTTTGACCTTGTCCACTATTGATATTAATTGGATCACTAAAATTTCATATAATATCAAAGAATTATTATTCTTTTTTTGAAGAATCTCATATTTAGTTGATGAAAAAAAACTTCTATTTAGAAAAGTTCATTCAAGGTAATATGTATCCACGAATGCTAAAAAATGATGAATGATCATGTGATAGTCCTCGCCGATAAAATCATCAGTATTAGATAATCCCAAATATCGGCAAAATTCTATATCTTCCCGATTTACATGTTACTAGGACAGGTTTAGATTAGATAGAAGTAACTTTAACTATTATAAAATTTAACATGAAGTAAAGATGATTAGCATTCGATTTTCAAACAGTCTTTTTTTTAACATGTTTTTTGGAGATCATGAAAGTCAACATCGTCAAAATCCAAATATTGAACAATGAGATCGGCGTATCAAGATTATGTCGATCATGTGAAAATCAAGAGGGACGAGTGTACAAAGTTTTTGGCGTTGTTACCCAAACTACCATCGAATTTTAAAAGAATTGGAAAAAAGGCATTCGAATAATCGTGCTATTTCAAATAAGGTATAATGGTTACATTCTTTAGCATTTTCGCACGGGTTACTGAATTCACCTATGAAACTAACTTTTTCATTACTTTCTCATTTTCAAGAGTGTCACAAGTAGGGACCTTTCTTTAGTTTTCCTGTATCTCACAACGTACGTACGTACGTACGATGTACGAACGTACGTACCTGTGTATCCTATAACTGATACGTAATGTGAGCATCTGAATTTATGGAAAAATGAAAATCGCTATATATAAACTTTTAGCTTGTTTTAGCAATACCATTGGTTAAAAATAACTATAAGTTATAAATAAATTATTTATTAAATATACTATATATATATATATATATATGTATAAATTTCACTGGATCACGAGATATTGTCCAAGAATTCTGAGATCTGAAAATATAAAAATAAATTATGTAATACAGTAATATTAATAGAAATATAAAGACATTTTAAAAATCGGTATTAAATAGATTAATAAAAAAAAAAGTTTTTGAATCAAACAATTAAATTAACTAGAATTTATAAACGCAAATGTTGCAGATAATTACAATATCGAAGTTATTAATATCGTAGAATAGGAACAGAGAAAAAAATTACGTTTCTTAATATAGATATATATATCGTTATTGACAAATTAAAGTTAACCAAGCAAGTCAAGACTTTCTATTGGTTCAGTCTCGGTGTTTTTATTTGGTCTAACCATTTTTTCCTTTTTGTTTTATTATCATTTATCGTGACATGTTTATTAATGTACAAAATACATAAATACATCAGTTGTAAAAATAAATCGTCAAATATCATATAAATTTATTATAGATAAACTACGCTAATATTCACAGCTCAACTATGAAAGATATAGATATATTGCCGATTTATAAATTTGTATCTTCATTTTTTTATGAGAACATATATTCATAAACATCTATTATACAACAATTTAGTTATACGTATCATTTTAAACTAATTGTTGATAAAGTTATTAGAAGCGTTTCCAGGACATCTCTTACCCAAATTATCTATTAATTAGTATTAATATTTACAATATATATGATTCCGATTTTGATTTCTATACAATTATTGATTAGTTCTAAGTTGTTCCAAATTTGTTCTTATTCAGTTTGCCCAATAAAACCAGTCAATGAGACTATAATGAGAAGAATAAATTAGTTACAAATTTACAAATTAATATTACTAAAAAAAAAAAAAAATCAAGCGATAAGATAACGCGTACATTCTAAAATCTTCATCGTTCGGGATAAGACATTTATTCATACTTGAGATACGACGGTATGCTGCTGCAGTTTGCAATTTCTGGGCAATATCTAATTTAAAATAAATAAATAAATAAAAGGTAAGAAATACACGAAATTCATCAAACATTATTAAAATGACTAATTAAAAAACTTACGATCGGTTTTTGGATTTGACCATTCCATAGATTCCTTAAAACCATCATAATACATTCCAGAATTTTTGCCCATTGTGAAAACTCTTGATTCTCTTGGATTATTTTCTTTAGAATTTACTATCACAACAGAACATTGTTTATTTTCAAAAACATTTGGAATCAAAGAACTACGCTGTGGGCTGCTATGTGGACTTGTATGAGGATTAACGTGAGGATAAACCTGAGGAATAACTTGAGAATCACGTTTTGCCGCAACGATTCCTGAATCACGTTTTGCCTCAACGATTCCTGAATCAAGTTTATTCATAAAATCATTAGACGTAACCAAGTTATTTTGTGCTCCATTTCGTAATGGAACTGGTTTGACTACAAATTTAATGTTATTAATATTAATACTGTAATATGAACTTTTGAATCAAAAATTGAATCAAATATTGAATCAAATATTGAATCAAAAATTGAATCAAATATTGAATCAAATATTGAATCAAAAATTGAATCAAATATTGAATCAAAAATTGAATCAAAAATTGAATCAAAAAAAAATATATATATTAACGTTATACTCACTCTCGTGGGCATCAGTTTTTTTTTTGTTCAAAAATGGAATTAATTTACTAACGTATTTTGCCTTCCTATGAGGCATTATACGTTGTCTCTCCTGATACAGAACCCTTCGTATCTCTCCGTTTCCTTTGATCCCAATCTCGAATCCTGCTTCATTAAAAATCATCTCATTTAAAATTTTTTCAATATTTTCAATACTTGGTCTATTCAAAGGATCTGAATCCAAACATGAAGATATCAATTCTTTATATTCCGGTGGCATATCCTCAATCATAATAGGTCTCAAATTATTTTTTACTATTTCTTTTTGCAATTCTTTATCATGAGGACGTTCAATAAATGGTCTTTGTCCTGACCATATTTGCCATATAATCATACCAAGTGAATAAATATTCGATGATTTTGTGTAAATTCCAGACATTAAGGTTTCCGGTGCTAAATATGGCATCACTCCAAATACACCATTAAAAAGATTCATAGGGTTTGATTTTGATTCTGTTGGACTCGAATTCGTACGTTTGCGAAAGGTTAATTTTATTGGTTCAGATGAACGTCGGATTTTGGCAGGGTCAACGGGTTTACACAGTCCAGTATCTCCAATGTAAGCATCACCATTTTCATCAATTAGGATATTACCAGAATGTAAATTTCTGTGAATTAAACCCGACTTATGAATCTCTTTAAGACCACTGACAATTTGAGAAATAAGTTTATGGGATTGTGGTAACGTAGTATATGGAAGATGAGAAAGATATGTTTGTAAATCATATTGAGGGCAATTTTGAAAAACCACTATGAATTCTTGTGTCTTTGGATCACGTGTTATTCCGTAACACCGAAGGAGACCGGGAATCGTATAAGTGTAGTTTGATGGTGTATGTCTGCTAAGCATTCTCAACTACGTATCGGTATTACAATATTTACAGTATTACAGGATTAACTTTATTTGTCGATTTATTGAAACAAATTAAAAAATTATTATGTTATGTAGTACGTACGTACGTACGTACGCATGTACATACGACGTACGTACGTACGTTCAAATAATTGACATATACATACCTCTTCAAAAAATGGAGACTTAACATTTTGAGAAGCCATTAAAGATTTTAACGTAACCTTTCTTGGCCCACTCCGTTTCCATTTCGGCATCTGTGTGTCTTGCGCCTCATCCTTATGTTCAAAGGCTGGTGGTCCATCCCGTGGTCCATCAATCCACTCAGCCTCCCAAACCGTTGAAAAGCCACCTTTTCCAATATATTTAATATTTTGAAACCTTTCATAAGGAATATATTCAATAAATGAAAATATTGAACCAGCATTCGCTTGAATGCTCTTAATAACCAGATCAATTTCTTGATTTTGACATGTCCATTTAGGATAGAGTGATTGATAAGCGTAAAATTCACACTGACGACACCAGTTATAATAGAATCGGGGTGATGAGCATTTGGGGCATGTACCAAATTCTGAAGTTGAAAATTGTGACGTTGACATTTTTACGTATCGTTAAAAATTAAAATTAATAGGGAATGATTTGAAGTTGTAAAAAGAATGACTCTTCAAGAATCAAAAAAAATTATAATAATAAAAAAATAAAGAATTTAAATGAAGGGATAAATATCTTTATATATATATGTATTTCTAAAAAGGAGTGAAAAACAAATGATACAGATTCAAGTTAAATGAATCTGTAATCAATAATATCAATTAGGATAAAGGAACGGAAAGGAACTAAAATGATCTTGCACAGCAAGAATTTTAGTAAGGGGAGAATCAGGGAGCACTCAATCACATTTAAAAACGGAATAAGCAAACCAGAACCACATTTATAAATGCATTCAGAAATGCATAAGTAAATTTAAAGTCTATTAGGTCTATACTATACGTCTTTGTTTTTACAATACAAATACAAAATTTAAATAGTAATTAAATATGAATATAAATAATAAACATCATAAATCAACATAAATACAAATGTTTATCAAATATCGTCCTACGATGCCTTATGCCTTAAAGAGTAACACAATTAGTGTTATCATAATAATGCGATTTATAGGAATCAAGGAATAGTAATAACGGTAACTGATAAATTACTTATATGCGTTATGCGTCCTCTATGCGTAATCGACTTCACAACGGAAAAAATGATTAAATGGTTCTCGTGCGATTAATTACCAATAAAGTTATGCTTTCTAATTACTATTAATTTCCGTGTCACCAAAGTAAATGATCGTACCCTTAAATAAATGAAAACGTTATCAATTGAATTATAAATAGTATTTGGATTTTTGAATTAATAATTTCTAATTCGGTTGCTTAAAGAAGCATAGGATACTTAAATAAGCAGGGGATAAAAAAATATATATAAAAATTATTACTTATCGCACTATCGCACTATCGCACTTGAACTATTTTAAACGACCCGTATTTAATGCTATAAATGCTATTCGTGATATATTATGTATAAACAGTAAACCCTAACCTCAAATATTGGAGCAAAAACAAACCGAAATGTGAATCGATTATGACTTTTTTAAGTTACTTTATTCGCTATTTTCCGATAAATTTATGAAAACAGCAAATTAGGTATTCCGAATTCCAAATTTTTATATATTCAAAAAAAAAAATCAAGACAATCGTAATTTAAATCCAAATAATGAAAAAAAAATTTCTTTAAGAAAAAAAAATTGTTGCTTTTAAGTAAATTCATTGTCTTCATTGCCTTATGACCATACATGCCCAATGCATTTACCAATAAATTGTCTTTAGACGTGATCTTCAGATAATGTCTAACTCACGGAATTGTGACTGCACTTTAGAATTCTTAATAAAATGTCATTGTGTGAAACGTCTTGATACCATTTTTAGAAATGAATCATTAATATTCGTGCTACGTACGTACGTATGTAAAGGACAAGTGATGAAACATTGAAGTTTGAAACATGCAATCCTTTATTGTAACCTTTGGAACGTGATTTCCGTTCCTGGTAACAAAAGAAGGTAAACAGCTGAACAGGTGCAAAAAAAGGCAGCTGCGGGCTACGAAAAGATTTTTTAACTTTGTAACGAACGAAACTTTAACGAAACTTTAATGTATCAAAACTATTTTTTTGAATAAAAAAATATTTGCTGCCTAAATAAATTACATCTCGATTTTGATCACTCGATCTTTTTTTCCTCGTTGATCTCTTTGTTAATACGGAAACAAAGAATCTTGTTTAACAAATTTAGTAAATTTGCGAATATATATATATATATATTTGTGATTTCCAGTTTATAAATCATATAAAAATGATACAATCTTCTGCAAACTTTGATCACGACGTATTAATTCTCGGTAAAAATTTTGAAACAATTAACTGTTAATAAAATATCATTCCTACGTATTGACTAATTTGTAATCACTCCATGAATTTACGGTATAAAAAATTAACCCGAAATAGTATCTAATAATTTAGTATTTAATTAGATGCCACACCCTGCAAAATGAAATATTTATCATATCCTCGATACCATCATGATAAACTTAACAAATATGGCAATAAATTTATTTTGACATGTGCTGTTACGAACGATCTCTTATAAATTTGGTATAACTAATTACTCTAGCGATGGTTATATTAGACGATTAATGACAAATATCGTGTTTGTGCTTAAGTAAATATATGGTTAATTGCAGTTATGCGTGATTTGCAGTTACGAAAGGGGTAAACGGTTAAATGTATATATAAAGATAAAATAGTCGTATAAACAGGTTTTATTTATTAGAGTTATGTGTGCATGAAGACACGATTACTCTATTATTATCAAGTTGCGGGATTTACTTTTCTATTGGCGAACTCAGGGTCATTTGCACATTTCTAAGTATCGTATCATTTGCACATTTCTAAGTATCGTAACTATTAGCAATTCTATTTCAATATGTATATAATTGAGTTAATAAGCTTATACAGTACGGGATAGCAAGTCCACAAAAATAAGCAATATGATTGGATAAAATAATTTAAGAATAATCTGTATTATTATTTACCAATCGAGAGTAGATCGAAAAACTTTACAATATTGAGCTCTGTGTTGTTCATAATGAAGGTAAACTTTAGTTGTTATACACATTTTTATTATACATATATGAAATAATTTACGACAGGGTGAAACCTGCACTGTGAATTGTAAAATCCGCTAACCACGCAACGCAGATCACATGAGGGCGAAGTTCTAATAAAAAAAAAATAGCTAAACGCGGATTCCCGTGATTTACGTAGCGGATTTTACTAATTTACAACGCGGGTTTCATCCTGTCCTAATAATTTTAACAAATTTTATCTATTTACATTTTATTGCAATTGTGTCAACCTATGCTATTTTAACGCTACTTAAACGATCAAATTTATAAAAAAAAAAAAAAAAAAAACGAATAGCAGTGATTTTTACAACATCCAGAAATTCTTACATTAGAAATATTAATCCTGAACTCGGAGAATTACGCCTTCAAATGTTACATTTTTGAGATAAGAGTCATGAAAATTTGCACCTTGAAGATTTGAATTTCGAAGAATTGTATCAATGAGATTTGCACCAGTGAGATTTGCACCTTGAAGATTTGAATTTCGAAGAATTGTATCAGTGAGATTTGCACCAGTGAGATTTGCACCTTGAAGATTTGAACCGGTGAGATCTGTGCCAGTGAGAATTGCACCTTGAAGATTTGCACCGGTGAGATCTGCGCCTTTGAGATTCGCATTTTGAAGGGACGCACCCTCGAGATTCACATTTTGAAGTTTTGCATTTTGGAAATTTACATTGCTTAAATCAGCTTTTACAAGTTGTGAATTATTAAAAATTCCATTGCTCAAATCCGCCCCTGGGACACGAATATTGTTTAAATTCATCGGAAGTCGTATTTTGGCACGCATAAGAACTGTTATGGCATTAGCGGAAGCAACTTGAATATTTTCATTCTTTTTCGAGCATCCAATAAAACTTAACATCTGTTGTTTGATCTCTGGCTTTTGTTGAATTCGTTCAACTATAAATTGCTGGATTGCAAGTTCTGGCATAATCGACTGCTTGTTGAAGAATGTTGTTTCTGACGTATCTTCGAATGAATCTATCAACTCACAAGCAATCAAGTAATCTCGCAATGATTTGTGGAAAAACCAATATTGGTTTCCACGTCGAATTAATGGCATGCTGAAGCACAACAAACTACATTTCTTGTCTCTATTTCCTAAAAACTCCTTCCAATCGGATGTGCCCTTCTTTACTGGACCATAGCTTACAACTACTTGTTATTGTCCTCAAACATCTTAGCAGCAAATTGTTTGCCAAATTGTAGACAATTTTCACAAAAACCTTCCCCATCCAAGCAGCTAAATTCCTCTTTTTCTTTAGGCGTTAATTGAATGTTTGACAGGCGAGTCTGAGCACGTTCAAACCATTTCTTAATAAATTCATCATACAAAATTATACGATTTATCTGAGAGGTTTCTTTTTCTTCGATCATGCTTGGTAAAACATTTAAAGTAATTTTTAATAGAAGAGGATTAGATGCAAGATCTTGTACTTCCGGCATGTTCTTTATTTGTTGTATATATTTGTCGGTGTCCCACATTAATGGACTACCATTCTTCTGGAAATAATCAACATAATTATTGATATATTGTTCTATTTCAACCTGCGAAAATGGGGTAATTGTCAATTCCTGGAACCCTTTTCTTTCGTTTTCTTTAGGCCAGAATCTCTTTTCATAACCTCCGCCTAAGTACTCTGGTCGACAACTGATGATAATCTTCGCGTTTTTCCATTTAGAGAACATATTGCTGTTATAGCAATTACAATCACGTTCAGCAATCTCATCATAACCATCTAAAATAAATACAAACTTCCTTTCCCGTAAACTATCAATTTGATCTATGGATAGTTTGCCTTCTTTCCGTAAATAAACTTCAATAAAATCCTGATGTTGATTTATCAGCCCTTCTAGTGGCGCTAGTGCGATAAATAAAGGAATAGGTGGTTGCGTTATTTTTTGTTCATCAAATTCATTCCATAGCTTACGAGCAAGGTAACAGTTAAATGTTGATTTCTCCGTTCCCCCACTACCTAATATCAACATTACTATTTTACGTTTCAAGGTTAAGAGATGATTTACTGCTGTCTCCAAAATTTCTTTAGCTTTTAAAGCCGTCTGATCCTTCAAAGCCAAAATTTGATTAATTGCGACATTCAGCATATTTATATCTTCTAAAGTTAATTTATTCTCCTCCACAAAAAAGTTATCAATTAACTTAATTAGCGGCTTTCTTTCTTTTGAAACCAAAAATTCATTTGCTGCATTCTCCAGAGCCTTCTTATCATCTGAAGTAAGTTTATCCCTCGAGGTCAAAAAACGCATAACTACTTTTTCTATATCACCTTCCATTTCTTTGTCACCCATTTCTTCTTTACCAACTGATGACTTGATAATTGGCACATTCCACGTCCCCTGCGGTTTGACATACAAGGCTAGAGCTTCTTTAAATTCACATATTTTATCTAGATATTGCTCTTTTAATTTACTTCCTAATTCGCTTAACATGTCTTCTTGATTTCTTTCCAGGTCAAGCTCTTGCGCCTTTCTTAAATCTTTTAGATTTTCTTCTAACATTAAAGAAGCATTTTCGCTCACAAATAGATGATTATTATTAGGTTGCTCATTAAAAGTCAGAATAATCTGTTCTAATATTTCAAGAACTGATTTTGTTCCTGGACGATTATCAGGATTCCTATCCCAACATTTTTTATAGAGTTCAATATATTGAAGCGGTGTGCCGTCTATTGGTTCTTCTCTTTTTCCTCTAACGATGGACATAGAGAGTTTTATTCGATTTTCAGAGGATTGGAATGGTGGTTTACCACTTGAAATTTCCCAAAGGATTACTCCAAAGCTATAGATATCCGATTTTTTGTTTCGTTCATATTTCGGGTTTTCAAGATATTCAGGTTCGGTATATATCAGCACTCCATGACAACATGAGTCTGAAATCTCGTTTGTCCGTTTTGACAGACCAAAATCGGCAATTTGCGCCACTTTATCATGAATTAAAATATTTTTTGGAGTCTTGGAAATAATAATAATAATAATAATAATAATAAATTGAACATTAGTAAATAAAATTTATAAACACGTATAATAAAAATATCATACTTACAAGGTCTCTATGAATAATCTCTTGGGTGTGTAGGAATAAAAGACCACGTATTATTCCATCAGCAATACGTAATTTATCTGCCCATTGCAGCTTTTCAAAATTTGCTTTCAAGTAGTCTTGCAAATTTCCATCAATAGCATACTGTAAAACCAATTGATAACACCCGGAAGGGTCTATTTATTTACATAGAAATATGAATATGTTTATTTGTATATTTATTATTATACTTTTAGAAATTATAAACTATATGTGTACCTTTCGTAACTCCATAGAATTTAATAATATTTGGATGGTAACAAACGATTTGTAAAAGTTTAAGCTTTATATATGAGTTATAGAAATTTGACATATAACTTAATATAATTATCGACAGGCGAAAACCAAGATGCCTAAGAAAATAGAATTCTTAGCACACGAAATGCGGGTTTTTGATCGATCCGACTGGAATAATAAGTTGTCTGTTTTTTGATCATGTGTTATTATCACTTAAAGCCCGAATTCCGCTGTCTAAAGAATTCTATTTTTAGACTTTCTTTACGGTGTCCCTATTAGAAAATATTAAGTTTTAATATACAAATACCTCTTTAATGAAATCCTTCAAATCTCTACTTAAACTTGGATCAAAACATTTAAGGGCAACTGTTAATTTGCATTCTATCAATTCGGATTTATAAACTGTTCCAAAATTTCCAGTGCCAACTTTCTTAGGATCAGTAAACTTGTTATAATCATGATAATTAATGAGTTCCTCAGAAATAGCTTTTTCGAGCCATCTCTCTTGAGTCCCAAATAGATGATCATTATTATGTTGCTCATTTAAAGTCAGAATAATCTGACTTAATGTTTCAAAAACTGATTTTGTTCCTGGACGATTATCAGGATTCCCATCCCAACATTGCTTATAAAGCTCAACATATTGAGGTGGTGTGCCTTCTATTGGATTTTCTCTATTTCCTCCAATG